TTCAGTTGATTCAGTCAGCTCTGGTTTCTCTCTCGCTCTATTTCTTAGCCTTTCTTTTTTGGATCTTACCATTCGACAAGAAATTTTTTGCCAAATGAACTCCCCTGAGATTGCTCGCAATTGCCATGATGAAAGTTAAGGAATTATGCGAGCTCATTTTCACTATGATAAGTTAGAAAATCGATACCCTTAATACGTTTTTCTCGACAAAAGCGCGCTTTTGGTCCATATTCAAAACTGCTTACTGCTTACAGCGATGTAGCGCGCTAACATGCTATAATTTACGTTATGCATACTATAGAATTTCAGAGATAAAAGCGCGTTCTGAATATGGGCCTTTATCTCTAAAATTCTATAGTATGCGTAACATAAATTATAACAAGTTAGCGCATTAACATAACATTATAAGCGCGTTCTGAATACAGACCTTTATGAATATCAGACCTTTATGAATATCGGCCTGTAATTAACTTATATCTCAATATTGGGAGACTCAATATTGGCAGCTTTCCAGCAAGAGACACAAATTGACACAAGAGTCATCCTGTCCTTGTTCGATAATCAGTAAGAAACAAACTATATTTAAGATCTCGAATATAAGAATCGACTATGAATACCAGTCAGAATGACGCAAATAGTGTTTAGCATCTTTTCGAAGCCTTGAAGTTGCTCCAAGCTAGTCCAGAGCCCAGAAAATCACTGAAGCTTGTTTCCACTAATGTAGATTAATTTTAATCTCTGTTCAACTTATTCTTTGTTTTTTTTTTAATCTTTAGAATTAGAAAAAGACGAAGAGTAAGTTGAACCGAAATTAAAGTTAAATCTATATTGATAGAAATGGGCATGAAAGGGTCAGTTTCACCAACGCCAATTAATTTAATCAGCCGTTGACTGACCAATCGTGTTTGCTGTTTAGTAGAACCGACCAATTGCAGTTGATCACAGTTAATCATGATTAAGCTTGATCGGCGTTGAAACTGGCCCAAAGAGAACATACTTGATATTATGCGCGATACATATGAATGTACCATTCGGGCAGCTTCTATGAAATCGCGACAAAGTTCCGCTGATTTCGTTCGCGCCGGGCGTCTCGCGCGTAAAATGACAGTGGCGGCGGGAGATCGCGTTACGAACGAAAGATTGTAGTTCACTGAGCGTGATTATCTTGTCACTTTCGCAGGCAACGATCGGTCGTCGCCCATCGTTGCCATCGGCGGAAAAAGCCCAACAAGTGACCCGTCTTAAAGAAGGAAATCATCGCGGGTTCAATCGTAGGCCAAAGATCGGCGCAAGTTTCGCTGCGCGGTGACGGATGCGCGCTAGAGGCCCATCACGACACGCTAGCTCAATTCTAGCGACACTTTTTGCGGATAGAGTGCGCCGCTTGGGAATTCGGCTGTCGGCGTTGAAGCATCGGTAACGTGACAGTTCAACGACGATTCAAGCAAGCCCGGTTAGACTGAGTAAGTATCGATCAACGGGAGTGCGACAGTCCGCCGGTCGATTCTCCGCGCCGCTCTATTCTGCTCTATTCGCCCGTTCTTACTTCTTAGCGCGGAAGATCTTTCTCTCTCTCTCTCTCTCTCTCTCTCTCTCTCTCTCTCGGAATACTTGAATTCTCTCACTCTCACTCTTTCCCGGAATCTCTAGCTTCTAGCCGTATAGTACAACGGCGGGTTCTCAGACACACACGTGCATACACATCAGTTGCGCTAGTGTGCGCCACCCTATGTATACGCACGTCTATAAAAAGAGAGGGAGGAAGAGAGTGAGAGAGAAAGAGAGCGACTACGCGGATATATCCCCTTCCCTCTTCGCCGCCAGCCTTATACCGTCGAATCCCTTCTCGTTTCTTCTCACCTCCCCCCCAATCTCCTTCCTGTCGCGAATCCCCTCTAGTATAAATCTCGACGGCCGAATGTTTTCTTAAGGGATTCTTGTTCTTTTCCGAACGGCAGAATATTTCTGAAAGGAGGTGGCGGCTACCTGGGGGACCTTCACCCGTGAGTGCGGTTTCGTTCAAATCGTTAAGGCGGGCGAAGTTAACGCGAGAACGAAGTCGAGGCGCGGTGCGGCGCGTGGCTTCTGCGTCGCTTTTCCCCAACGAGACGAAGGCACGACGCTTCACGACGCTCTACGACGCTCCACGACGCTCCACGACGCTTGCGGCGTCCCCGTGGGAGGAAGTACCGCGTGAAAAGAACGAGAAAGGCGAACGAACGCACGAATCGCGAGTGTACGTACGAATGGTGAAATTTATAGGAGCCTCCAGGCGTTCCTGTGGGGGGGGGGAGGGTGGGCACGGGGGTGTCACTTCTCCCGCAGAGATCCCGTTTTTATTCCACGCCGTGCCGTGGGGACGCGTTCCGTTCGCGGCTCGGGTAAAACGCGACCCGGCTAACTTGACTCCCGCCGTCACGAACTCCGACTGCCTGACGAAAAAGCGACGACATTTCCACTTCGTAGATCTGTCTCTGTTCGACGAACTCGACGATTGACACGTGACGATTGTACGGTTAACGAGTGTCATTGGCATCATCCTCGCCGGAGGCGGCGATACCCAAAGAGACGCGTTGCTTTTTCTTTTCCATTCTATCTACTTACTGACTTACGAGTGAGTGTCTAAGTAGTGGAGTGCTTGCGTGAGTGAGTGAGCGTGTGAGTGAGTGAGTGAGCGAGCGAGTGAATAAGTGAGCGAGTGAGTGAGCGAATGAGTGCGTGAGTGATTGAGTGCGTACGTAAGTGCGTGCGTGCGTGAGTGCATGCGTGCGTGCACGCCGCCCGCCCGTCTGTCCGTCTGCCTGCTTGCTCTCGCTTGTCCGCCTCCACGAAAGCGCGTGCATCCGGCTGTGTGTATCGCTTATATCTATATACGGCGGGCTTGTCACACGCGCGCACGCCGTACCGCGTCCACGGACAATTTTTCAACCGGCGGCACTCGTCCTCGCCCGATTTGCTGTCTGCCGATCGATTCGCCGACGGTGTCGATCGCGTTCAAATTGTCTCCGGCAGTTTTATTCTCAAAAAATATAATACGAAGATACTATTCTTTGAAACTTTTACAATGAATCTCACTCTTAAAGATTGGAGTCACTCTTTTTCAAGATTGATTCAATCTTCACTCTTCAGTGCGAGATTCCACTCCATAAAATTTAGAGATTAGGAAAACCTGCTCTCTAAATTCTTTGGAGCAGATGAAGTTTAATTTTAATCTCGGTCCAACTTACTTTTCATCTTTTTCTAATTTTTACAACTAGAAAAAGATGAGTTATTGAACTGAAATTAAAATTAAACTACACTAGATAGAAACAGGCATAAGTTTTATTTAATTAAGGGTGAAATATCACTTTTAATAAGATTGAAAATTCTGCCTCTCTTTCTCATGACCGGAAAAAAATTTTCACTCTTTTTGGAGTGCGATTTTACAAAGAATGTAACGCATTTTCATGTATTTTTTTTGTTATATTTTTTGAGTCTGAGGTGCTCCTAGAGATGCTTTCTAACGCGATTCCTGAGGTTGATTATGTATCTTGAAACAAGATGAATACTACAAAAGGCGTTGAAATCTTAAAATATTCTAATAAATTCACTGGCTTTTGTAAATTTTTCCTTGTTTCAAGAAATTTTAATCCTTTTATAACAAATATAAGTCTGTTGTTTTTAACATTCTTTGAGAATCTTCGCTTTCCTTCTCTTCGTCGTTCAAACTTTAATAAACATTTTTGGATTTCAAGCAACGCAAACGAATAGCGTCGTGTCGTTAGGGAGGACTGTGGCGCGAGTTCGGCCTTTATATTTGTGTGTAATATATATATACATATACATGATGTGAGTTAACGTGTATATGTATATTCAATATATGCGCGTGTGCGGTTTTATATACGTATATGTGCGAGCGTGTGTGTACATTCGCGCCTATATATTTCATTCTCGGTTCCGTGCGCGTGTGTATGTATGCACGGATATTGTTGTTCCGCTCCAGACCTATGCCAGACAGCCATATTGTAATTTTTTTTTAACTCTACCATCGTGTCTCTCGTTAACCTAGCCCCTCGAGATCCCGCCGTTGATCTCTTTTGTTCGCGCGATCGCGGCAATCTAGGAAAAACGAGCGGCACGCGTGTCGTCCCAACTAAAGACGATCCCCCATACGAGGTAATTGAGTCGGTACTGGCCCCGCCGACGGTCGACGGCCGACGGCCGAGGCCCGTCTTTGTCTTTGTTCCGGATTGACGTTCCCGCGTTCCGCGCACGCCGCTCGGTCGCTCTTTCCGACGCCGCTGTCGCCGAGGACGACGCGTCGCGTCGCGCGTTTCCCTCGACAGCTGAAAGAGGAATTTCGTTCGCCCGGCATTCACGAAAGTCTGTGAAAACGCCGCGCCGGAACGTTAGATTCGTCATTTGTTTCGTTTAATTACGGCGTCCAAGAATAACTCGCGGCCGAAGGAGGCCCTTCGCGCGGCGTCGGATGCGTTCCTTCTCCGAATCCGTTTTCAAGTTAGCGCTGTTGCTGCCTTTGTCGAACGTTTTTTTTTTTTTAATACTTTTATTTTGCGGGTTTCCATTAGCGTGCCTTGTGTGAATGCGCCGCTTTGTTCAATTATTAAGATCTCAAGCGACGGACAAAAAATTAAGAGATGTCTGAAGGATATTTTTTTTTGTTTTTTTAAGAGCACATTTTTAATAGTTTTTTTTCTTATTGTCACAAAATTATATTTATGACATATATTCTCTATATATTCTAAAGTGATTTCTGTAATAACCGGTATCGTAAATCTATTTGCATTTCTCGCATTTTTTGCGTTCAACATCTTTGTTTTTCTTTTTTTCAACGTCCGAATATGTATTTATCTCGTTTTAAGTGCAAAAATTTAGAGATTTCAAGTAACGCGAATTTCATGTATTCGAAATAAAACACAATCCTTTTGCGACAATTATCTAATGGAATGATTTTGATTTTTTTTTTTTACAGACAACTTGTTCTGCATTAAGTTACTATCATGGAATCTGGAAGTAACTTGCCCAATCCGGGCACTTATCCCGGAGGAGATCGTCAGCAGTTCTGTGTCTCTTGGAATTCCCATCAGTCGAACATGCACAGTGCATTTCCAAAGTTACTCAGCTCGGAGCAGTTTGTCGATGTAACTCTGGCTTGTGACGGAGGTTCGATAAAGTGTCACAAGGTTGTATTGTCCGCCTGCAGCGATTACTTGGAGCGTCTTCTGTTGGAGATCCCATGTACCCATCCTGTCATCTTTTTGAGAGACATGAAAATGTGGGAACTTCAAGCCCTGGTTGAATTTATGTATCGTGGGGAGGTGTACGTGGAGCAACAACAACTCGCTACTTTAATGCAAGCAGCGGAAGTTTTGCAGGTACTGTTTTTTGACTTTTTTGGGATGTGTTACAAAACTCAATTCGAGTATCATTTTATCCTTGTTAATCACTGAATATTGAATTTAGAATGAAGGATAAAAGATAATCGGAATTGACTGAATCGAGTTTTAGAACACACTCTTATTTGTATCTATTTGACAGTATTTTGTATCCAATTACAGGGCCGAATTAGGACCATCCTTATTTGCATAATTCAATAATTTTTTTAGAAATTTTTTTCAAAAATGTCGCCCCCTCTCTAATTCTATCACTCTATGTGTTGCATAGGTTAATCTCTGCGACAATATGGTCCAATGTTACTGAAATGTTCTAGCGCTTCAATAGTTACATTTAGTTTTTCAAATATGTGGCGTTTGTAATCATTCTATCATTGTTTACTGAATTCGATGAATATAGAATAGAATACGGATGTCTTCGATTTGCAAAACCAAAACACAGCTAGTATTTCTAACTTCTTTTGTTTCAGCCAATTTTTCTTTAATTCTTTTAGTAATAGTTTTATGTTAGTTATTCATAGTCGGGTTTTATTTTAAGATTATCTTAACCAATATCTTAAGATGTTACAGCTTTGGAAAATTGGCTTATGACATCTTAAGATTATATTTAAGGCTTAAACATAAGAATCGACTATGAATATTTTTAGATTGTGCTTCGATGTACATTGTTAGTATTAAAAATCTATTGTATGTGTAATGTGAACTATATATAGATTTTTGGTACTGGCAGTATATATTGGATTACAACTCTAATAAAGATTATAAGCATATATAAGATTTTAATTTTAAAACGCACAAAGAATCTTAATAAATGTTCATGCTTCTTTATATATTTTATGGATATATTATATTACTACTTTATAGTAATAATAATAATACAATATTATGTTAATATTGTCTTATATGCAAAAACATAATAGGTAACATATTATATATTTTTCGATAGGTTCGTGGCTTATCCACTCAGGGATGCGATAACACAGTGAATGAGAGCAATACACAATCATGTGATTCTAATGCACCTGTCACTCCGTTGACTCCTACTCCCGGTGACAGCAACTTCAAGGTGGAGACTTCATCTAACGATGAAAGTACCTCTGATTTTATCTCATGTACGGCAATGGCTAGCACAGGAAACAACTCGTCCTCTATCACACCTCCTGTTTCACAAAATCCTAACTCCTCCAACTTCGTAAACATGGAACATAGCGAAGCGCTACAACATTTAGAAAAAGCTCTTAGCGCTTGCGAAGCGACTCTTACCGAAACTACAGGAATGGTAAAAATGGAGCCGGATGAGCAGTTTGTACAACAGCAGGATGTCAAACCGTATTCCATTAGTATGGTATCCAGTAATAATTGCAATCCTAGCAGCCCATTCCCTGCGATTGAAGGTGAGCTTAGGTGACTTAATCTTGTATTTTACATTTTATTTGTATATTACATTTATAAGAGTTAAACATTTTGGTACCTTTTAAGGTTATCAAAGACGACAAAGGCGTTCGGAAGAGGAACTCAAGCAAGCTTCAGACATGGTGGCACGCGGCATGACGTTTCAAGTAGCTTCGGAAAAGTACAAGATACCGATCAGCACAATTCGTTTTTACATGGTCAGAAAGGGCATTCTGCAGAGGCGAAAACGCGGTCGCGGCTCCAGCAATCTTGGTATGAATAGCCAACCGAGTAGTCCGGCCAGTCCACCGTATCATATGATGAATTACCGTTTGCCAGAGAGCCTAAATTCCAGCCTACCGTAGTGCTGTACAAAGAAGTAGTGAGTTTTTTTAGAATTCAATTTTGAATTGACAAACATTTTATCACTGCATCATAGAGCTGTTCTAGACCGTCTCGTCAGTTTTTATACTTTTAGCTCCTTTACACGAGTTTATATTTTATTTTCCTCTTTCAATTCACATTGCCTTATTCATTCGTAGCAGCATGTTTGCGTGCTGATTTACAAGATTATTATGTTTACAACATATAATGTATTTTTGCATTTATGCCATTACCGACCTAGTGTGCGTTTTGGAGGTACAGTTTTGTGTCTCGAACAGCTCCGCTCCATGTATATAAAAAAAAGATACCATATGTAAAAGTTCGGACACAGCATTAAGTTAAGAAACTTGCAGGCGATCGTGTCTTACATCATATTTATGTTGGATTCAATGTCCTTAGGAAGACTGCCTGAAAAACCCAGTTTTTTTTAAGTACAAAGATGCATATTATTGTACCATGGATACTGAAGTACACTGGAGTATAATCGTATACTTAGTATGTATTATATTATAATAACTCTACGTAAAGCTAGCGGCAGAACATCGCAATACATAATTCGTGGTTCACCATTCGTATGACATTTGCAACTAGTATGTACGGAAACAAATGTTTGCTAGTAGAGCGATTTTTCAACGAAATCGAAAATATGAGAATTATTACGAATCATTGGTGGTCTTTGTTTGTACACAAGAGTGTACAAACAGCAAACGATAAACTACAAATCAAGGACAGATAGAGACAAAGAAGAGATTTACTTTTCGGTCTTGTCATTCATATGTTATTTCCGAGTTTTGAGTTGGAATATTATTCCTCTCGTGATAGAACTAAAGATACAAACAATTCAAGGCAATTTAATAGTTGTGTCTCTCGGAAAATTGAAATGTGAATGTTAGAAGAAAATCGTTCTTATACTCTTAATGTCCTCGATTTTTTTATATTTGAGACATCTTCCTTGATTTACTCGGCTGTTTGGAAGGCGTTCTATATTTTTTCATTTTTTTTAGCATATTTTTTCGTATGACGGATTTCCGCGAATTTATTGCGAATCAGGAATTGTGAATCATGAATTTATGCTAATGCCACGCGATATGTGGTAGTTTTTAAAGAGGCAGTTTATTCTTAAGTTTTTTGGGATTTTTTTCTTGAATACAATAGAGACAAAGAATGAAGCTTGCGATTTATAATTTATATAATCATATTCTTGTTTTGTTTTATTTCAAGCAGAAGAAATGTTGAATAGCTATGATACATATTGACGCTTTGTTCTTAAAAAGAAAAAGCTACAATTTTTTTAATGACAATGCTTTAAAGCTATTTCTAATTTTTATCTAAAATTATTTTTAGATAAAAATATACTGGAATCTCGAATAGCAAACCTCGAAATAGCGCAAAAAATCCCTTTTTGTGCTGTGAATAGTATGAGTGGGAGAGTAGCCACTAAAACCTTGAATTTTATTGTTTTGGAGTGAAGTAAAAGCAATTTCACTTATAGCGTTCACATCTCTGAATTGCGCGTTATTACGAGGTTTCAGTATAAATCTGTATAAATTTAAACTTTTAATATAATATCATGTTTTTCTTTAAATATTTGACGCATCAATTTGATAAAATTAGAACAAAACAAGAGTTTTTAAGAAAATATTTTTTTGAAGACTTTGAAATGAACTGTCTCTTTAATGTTTGTTCTCGTATAATAAATACATTGTACGGGAACTCCATCCGTCATCCATTACGAATTAATATCGAAAATATTAATTCCATACTTATAAGTGCTTGCGTTGTAATGGCGTCATACTTATAAGGGAAATCTCATTAAAGATCAAAATATTAGATCGAGCGTTGAACAAATATGTTTAAAATCTTATTATTTTGAGACTTTTTTATACGCAGGATTTGTATGTAAGCGCACTTAATGAGACGTTCATTGACGAGAATACAAGTTGTATAGGATATTCATATATCTAAGATAAGAATTCCTTCATGCTGTGGACGAACGCTACGCGTATGGTTAATTATCAGCCGTGTTCCGTTCTTCTACTTAGTGACGATGTAGCTAGCCTATATGGATAGTGTGAGACGTTTTTGAATCCTGCATCAATATCGTTCGTGACAAGGCGGATTTACAAAATACAGTTCAAAAAAAAAAGAAGAAAAGTGAAAAAAAAACAGAAAAAGTGAAAAAGAAGATTGACTATGTCATATAATCGATATTTTTTTAATGACCTCGAAATGTTTTGACGGGAAGGCATTGGTAGCATAAGTTATTTTTTATTACATCATATTTATATATGATTCAGTGAAGCTCAGCTTGCTCTCGATAAGTTATCTGTGGCATCTGTACACATGTACGTATTTACCGAATATTTATCTTTCCGTATTTTTAAATATGCCCCACGGAGGGGTAAAGAGATTCTTAATTACTACACGCTTTATGCCCTGCACCAGAGAGTGACGCTTAAAGATCAAAAATGTATACAGTTGTAGAAAGACAAAAAGACTTGTCCATGATGATCGATTAGTCACTATGTTTAAGACTGGTAACACGTGGCTAATATAACCAGATTAAAGTCTTAGAAAACAGCAATCCTCAATCTATTATATAAATATTTTTGTAGGCACTTTGTCGAGGAAGGTTTCTTCTTTCTGCCTTTATTCTATATATACCTTGATAACTTATACAGTAAGAGGAAAACCGGTATTTATTCGAAGTTTACCATTTAGCTTTGTTGAACATCACAAGAGATGAGAAACGATCATGACGTATGTAGTGTAATGCTTTTTACATGCATAGTGTACAAATAACAGCATTTGTAATTGACGATAAGAATTACCTGATGTCTGTAAAAATCGGGGAGCCTCTCGTTTTTACGGACACTGGTTCTGCCTTTTCAAAGAAGTTTAATTGTGTGACAACAACTGTGGCGCGCATACAATGTAATTGTACGATGTATTGCCTTTGTTAAATAGCATTTTGGATAAAGCCATATTTTTCCATGCAACGCAATAATCCAGCAAAATAAATTACAGTTAAACTGAGAAGCAGCCTAAAATAGGAAAGAGTGCCAGATACAAAACAAAAGTGGATATGAACAATAACACATAGAAGATAAAGTAAAGTTTATCTATCACTTAGAGTATGTAACTGCCTTTCTCTGGCCTCATACTGGATCATTAATTTATTTATATTAGACAATATACAAGATACATGTAAAGGGAAAAACTAATCTAACTTAGAAGGCTTGTTAGAGCTTCTATTAATTGCAGTAAGACTGCTGCCATTCGACTGATGAACACATTCTCAAGAAGCTAAAGTTGAACATTAATCGAAACATATGTCACAGATCTTACATAATTGTATTTATTCTCATTTATCATTTCTTTATGCGATCATTACGTATTTACTCAATTATCTCTGTACATTTCACAATATAGCGATATATCGAAAAAGGAAAGGAAAGAGAAAGGAAAGAAAAATAAGTCGCATATTGGATATTGTGATGTTAATGCGAACTAAAAACATGACTTGCAATTGTTGCCTGTTGTAATGTCCAATAAGAGTTGAATTGTAATGACTTACTCGTATATAGCATTCTTTCCAACAAGGAATCGGTATCGTGTAAATCATTATTCTAAGAGTTCCAGTTGACAAAGGTTTTATACGGATATATTAAACCAGTATTTCAAACCAATGAAAAATAATTAGTTTTCTAATAATAATAATACAATACAATTTTATGTGAATTTAGTACAGTGCTTAAGTCAGTAATGCTCAGCGTATCTAACAGATATTTTTAGTGGAACTCCGTGTCATACTCACATGTATCATAACGTCTTAAAGTATGTAACTAAACCACAATCAAAGAAGTGTGAACGATACTTAATGACTATTATCATAATAGCCACTTATGATAGCAGTAAATAGGTAGCCATTTTGAGGCAGTTTATATTATATTTAATTACACTGTGTATCGCTTTGGTCTCTCCGTTTTTACGATGGTATTATTATTTGTAGATAGAATCATAACTCTAGAATCGATTGAACCTCGGATCATTTATTTGTAAGTCTTTTTTACAGTTACCGAATATCTAATGGATTAAATAGGCAATGCAATTAAAACAAGAAAAAAAAAGAAAAAAAAACATGCAATACACACATACACACGACATACAGAGATCTGTTCGCACAATCAATACGATTGTGATGGATATTTTGTCGCTTGATTTTCGTTGCTTAATTTTTGTTAACTTTTGGACTCTATATACACACACACACACACGCACACGCACACACGCGCACGCACACACACACATGTGTGTGTGTGTGTGTGTGTGTGTGTGTGTGTGTGTGTGTGTGTATGTAAGATTACTTTGAGTTGGCAACAATACCAGGTATATTGACATAATGTAGTATTTTTATATTTTGTTTTTAGCTTAAGTTTTTATTTTTAGTGATTTGATATGATTACTTTATGGTTTGTACGCAGTAAAACTTTCCGAGGTAATATTTTCTATGAGAATCAAGGGCACGTTAAAATAAAGCTGACATTGGCTCATGTTCTACAGAAGTATTTTCGACATTCGCGTTTTCTATCATAATTTTGTATTACGTCGGGAAGCGTTACTCCCATAAACGTAATAAGTATAGACTAAGCATTCTTCTAATTGAAAAGTGATCGATGTAATTAGCTGTATTCTCTTTCTGACGGAACAGATTAGAGATGAAGATTATATCATATATACTTATCAGTCTATACCTATTACGTAATTTCTATATTAGTTGTGCCGATTTAATATGTTTAATATGTTAGTCAGTTTTCTTAAATATGTTAGTCAATTGCATTCAATACGACAAGTGTATTCAATAATCTTAAGAAGTGAATTAGTAATACATAGTTGCTTGCCTATTTACGACAGAAATTACGTGCTTTGATGTTTCGTGAATGAGTTGTGTAGCAACAATAGACGAATCGACGAATTGTAAACATTCAATTTTCTAATTGTAGAGTAACGAATCTAATACGTTATTATTATTAGGGATTTGTATGATGTATCAGGATTATACAATGCCATATTACGCCGAATCGCCGCCGACGCTTCGATCATTGTTCTCCGAAGTTACTCAGTTCCGTTCGCAGTACTCGCGCGACACTGTCCCGAGCGATTCAGTATTATATTGTACATCACGTGCGAAAGCCTTCGACTGCGTCCCGTTCAACGGTTAGATCCTTAAGCATTAGATCCTGTAGAATAGTCCTATTAGTCACACTTATTATTACTACACGAATGTATATTTTGCGCTGTTGTATCGAGAGCCCCTATTCGAAGACGCTCTCCAAGTATGGATCCAAGAACGAATCCAAGAGCTACGAATGAACGTGAGCTGAACATAACGTTCGCTTTCCCCTTGATGTATCTACAAGAAATAACGATTGGCGCAAATTTAATTAATCTAATTAATCGTTTCTATTCGCACATTGATACACATTGAAGCAAGCTCGTTCGTTTGTTCGTTCATGTTTATTTATGCTCTTTACTTCATCGAGATCCACTTGAGCGTACTAAAATCTTCGCTTTCGAGTGCAATATGTCGTTCGACATTTCGTCGCACCACACCGAAAAAAAATTGATTGTTCGATTTGTCAATTGAT